AGGTCCCTTCCGACCCTAAATCTATGAAACTATGAAACCTTCTCTGGCTTCCTTCTTTTTCTGGGGGAGAGAAGCTGAAGGGACTTGGCCCTGACTAGGCTCTTGGCAAAGGTGCCTCCTTCCCTCACAGATGGCAGGGCACAGCAACAAGACATTTTGTAAGAGGGAGGACACAGACTCTTCCTTTAGCTCATTTTGCTCTTGCTTCCCAAAGCAAACGCCTCAGAAGCAGAGTGTAGTGCCCCCCTATTCCCCTCCCCCCCCCACCCTGCAAAGGCAAAACACAGTCAGGGGCCAAAACTAGGAATTAAACCCATTACTGTTATATTGTTACTTTATATGCATAAATACAACCAAAGGTGGACAAATATGCAGTGTGGCAAATGGAAGAGAGAATTGTGTCTTCCTCTTCACCTTGAATATCCCTTTAAGAGGTGAGACAAGTAAATTTCATAACCTTTAGTGACTGCACTGGAAAGTTTAAACCAACTAAGGGGTAATTGTTCTTAGACATTTTATGAGACTGCAGTTGGTAATGCATAATCCATCAGAATCTGTTAAGGTTGTCATATTAAAAGAGAAAGGGTTAGTGTTTTTGTTAAATTAGTTTGCCATATTTGGTAATGTATTATCACAGGCAATTTCTGATAGATGTTTAATCCATTGCACTTTTTAAAAGGAAGGAAATTAACTATATTCTGTATGGCTATAAATGAATCTAATGCTTGTTATTGGAAATTTTGATTGATTTGGGCTCAGTCCTCCAAGGATTCAATAAAATTTAAAGATGCTGAGCACTTAACAGGATTGACTTTTTATCCTTGAGCTCTGTGATATAAATGTAACATTCCCAAATAACAGATAAATGTTTCATGTGCTCATCTAAAAATTACTTATTCCACAAAGCAATGTAATGTATTTTTAAAACCTCAAGTGTTCACATTTGGAAAAAAAAGAATACTTCAGACATCTGGTACAGTTAAAGCATGTTATCTTTTGAAATACCTGGCATACATTTTCTGCATAAAAATATGAAATAAAATTGCATATATATTTAATGGATCATTTTTAAACATTATTAAGGTCCAGCAGAATAAGGCACAAAAAGGAAATAAAATACAAAACACTCACAGAAGTTACTGCATTGTTTTAAACTGAACATAGCAAAATTCAAGTAGTTCTGAATATGCTCATTTCTTGCAACAGGAATATATTTCTTATGTTGCTGTTTCCACTTTTGAAGTCTGATGTACAAACATTAATAAGTTTAATCTAGTTAAGGCAATATACCTTCTGCGTTAATTACAGTTAGATTGACAGTTGTTTCAGAGACAGTTAAAAAGTAAGGCTTTTCTAAGTGTACTTTGATCAGAATCTAAAGAATGAACAGATCCCAAGAAAGTGATAAATTACAGATTTAGACCTGAGTCATTCAAAGACTTACACACGATTAATTTTATACACACAAATAGTACCGAGGACTTTAAAGGAACTATTCATGTACATAAAGTTATGCGCATTTTTAAAGTCTTTGCAGTGAAGTACTAGCAGATCTTATGTCTATACAGTATCCCCACCTAACATCAGTGGGTGGGCAACAGGTTCTAACTAGGAGTCCAACTACAGAGCCACCAGTCTCTCTCATGAACTGATAACTCATTTAGTATGTGAATATAAGCTACATAGCAACAGACAGATATAACCGCAAGTGGCAAATAGAAAATTTAAGATATATTTAGTTTTTGCTAGTTATGAAGTTTACATAAAGTATCAGAGTGTTCTAGACATATGTTTTGAGGGAGGTAAGAGGCAAGAACTTTAGTATGAAGCTAATCATGCAGCAGGGAAACTCATTCTCTTTGCTTGTGTTTTACTGATTGCAGCCTCAAATGAAATAAAAATCAAATAACATTGTTAACAGCTTCTCATTTTTGCACAGAAAATGAGATTTTTGGTATCTTTACTTCCTCCCTAAAGTTTCAGCTAGTTTCTTCAGTCTCTTCTTCAGTTCCAAGGGAAACTTCTCATAGCACTTCTTGCAGACAGGCTTCATATCAAACTCAACAAACTTGTTCCTAAAAATCGTAAAGCAAAATATAACTTTAGTGAAAGGAATTTTGAAGATGTCTCATAATGTTATAAAAATAAAAGATACTTAAACCACTATGAGGATTTTTACTTACATATGGAACACAAATTACAAATAATAAAATGAGACAGCACATGCAGACATACCTGAATCTAGATTTTATTTTAAAGGGCACATACTATTATACACATGACTATTTATGCCTGTGTTTTTGAGTAATGTTAAGGAAGAAAGACCCAAGTTCAGAAGAATCTGGGTTTCTTTAAACCTGGCTTGTTGAATCTTGGTTCCTTCACTAAAGAAGACAAACTAGGTTTTGAAAAATGGTGCTAAGTGCACACCAGGCATATAATCAATGCACAGACACACACACATAAATAGTATACTAGTGTATATACTCTATATATACTACAAGTAGATAGATCATAAACACACTATTAGTAGATATATCATATATAGTATATATATGAGAGATAATATATTAGAGAGCAAGAAGAAAAAGAAAATGAAGTAAATAACTGAAGTGAAGAAACAATTTTGTACTGTACTTTAACTGCAAAACATTGGGATTGACCAAAAAAAAAAAAAGATTATACAATTATCTGAACTCCTCTACCTACACAAATAGCCTACATATACTTTTTGTACCTCAGTAAGGCCAGTTACCTTATCAGACTGCTTTATGCCTTTTCTAACAGCTTTGAAATTGATGACTCCTAGTCCATTTTACCAATTATGCAGTCGGACATGGGAAGGCCTGATTTGGTACAACATGCAGTGATGTATAATTAAACAATGAATTGTAAACATATTAGTACAGATATGGGATACATTTTCAAAATTCTTCACATTTCCATTAGTAAAAACCTATCTTGTTTGAATATTGGCACAGGCTATTATGAAGACAACAGAAATTGCTATACTGGATTGAAGCATGGGCCATCTTGTTAAACATCCTGTTTCTGGCAATCAACAATACCAGCTGCTTTTAGAGGAAAGTAGAAGAAACCCTATAGCTATGGGTTAATCTGTCCAGACAGGACGTGCTATTGTGTCAACAAAATAATGAAATGCTGCTGTCAAATGCCACCAAACATACTGGAAAAGTAAAGCGCTATGTAATATTTTCTGACTACACTGGTAGTATATTAGGTTACTTAAAACACGTAGTACTGCTTTCCAGATATAAACTGAATTCTCAAGTTTGCTTTGCCTATATTTTAACTATCTGTTGTATTTTTAAAAATGGAAATGGTTTTCTGATTATTAATCCATGGAGGAAAAAATTATTTGTTTTCCCACAAGATTTCATGTCACTTTGGAACAATATGATGGTTTGTAATAGGAGACTCTGGCAACCCTTTTATTTAGGAGTAATGATTTATAAGTGGCTCCAAAAACAAGGAACATATGAATTGTAAGAAACAAGTTCAGTGCTATTCAGAAGGTGGCTGGATAGAGCTTCTAATACATGAATTTAGACAGTCCCCTGTTTGGGTAATGAATTAAGATTAAGATAAGAACAAGAGCTCCTAACGTACAGTAATTAAAAATGCAGTGCAATATTAATGTTTCAGTGAAAAAATCTTAACTGGAAAATGGAATTTGAATACAACATTGTTTTCAGGGACTGGTATTTTTAAGCTGATAAAAAGACCAGCTTTAAAAACATGAATTTAAGTACTAAGTGTCCACTCAAAACTATGCAGCCTCTATACTTGCATCCCTGAGGTTTTTAAACACAAAACTACATTTGAGATACAGGTCAATATTCAAACTCTGTGCCCAAATGCCTGTTTGCACGTGTACTTAATTGTGCTTAGAAACCTTGGGCAATTTGGGAGGTTGAAGCCTGAGTGCTGAACATTGTAGTGAAGCATTAACATAATCTGTTAAAAAAATTAAGAAGCTTCAAACACAAATTTCCACATTTTCTAGTTGTGTTAATAAGAGGAATATCACAAGATTTGTTTCTTGCAAGAATGGCCAAAACTTAATATTAAAATTAGTATTAAAGATTTCAAGTTGTATAGGAAAATTAATCATTGTGTTATTTTCAGTTATCACAGATACATGCAAAAATGAAAAGAATATCCATTAACACTAACCAAAGAAGAAAGGAACAGAGGTGGTAAGAGGAGGAAAAGGAAAGTTTACAAACAGACTGGCTTTTTCTTTTTCTGCTTGTCTTTATCCTTCGCTTCTCGCTCCCGTTTGGCTAGTCGCCGCTTAAATTCTTCAGGCATTTTCTCGTAACAATGTTTGCAGACAGGCTTTAGATCAATTTCAACAAACTTATCCCTTTTGATAGGGCAAGGAAGAAACAAAGGAAAGAACAGCGAAAGAGTTATAAAGTAATCTTAGCTGAAGAAAGAACTGACCAGAAAGCAGAAGTAGATTTAAAAGGAATAAATGTAATAAAAGAGAAGAACATGGATGTCATTTATGAAAGGCTGTCTGTTTTTTGTACCACTGCAGTTAAACAACATCATTATGTATCAGCATTTAAAGATGACCTTTGACCCATTTTGAAACATCACAGATATTTTCATCATCTTAAACTATCTGATAAACTTACTTGAGTGTTAATTTAGTGTTGCAAGTGGAACAAGAGAAACAGTTGACACACCATGCCTTATTCAGAGCAGAGACAACTACAGAGAAGGGGAGAAAGACATTACTTTCAGTTCAATAAACAGAGGCATTTGTTAAAAAAAATGAAAAATTGCACAATTCGTAGGACATACAGTTGAGGAGCTTATGGTGATGAAAGATTAAAATTAAGGAGAAACCTGGGGATGATCATAACAATAAAAGGGAGATAAGGAAACACACAAATATTTTGTAGGTAAATGCTGGGTAACCTGGGACAGTGGTCTCCAAATTGCATCAATTTGTTTAGGCTGACCCTGAACTAGTTATGATTCTATTTTAGCAAGGTATTTATTTATCATTTTGAAATAGCTCCACACTGGCAGGGTTTAATTTTGATTTGAGATCAAAGTTGCTTTGTACATTTGTCAGTCTCTTTTTTTCCTACACCTTTTTCTCTCTCCTATCTCTTTCCACTTTTCTTCTCTCTCTCCCATGCCAAAGTTTGTCTCCTCTCCCCTTCTTGCTTGATTAGTAGATGTAGCACAAACATATGATAATACTATTCTATTAAAATGCATCCCAGAATGAAACAGATGACCTGTTTTGCAGTTGTAATCAGTTATTTTCTTTTACAGTAGTTGCTGCCACAAATTAAACATTTCTCCCTGAAGGAACATGGTGCTAGTTGTGCACTGTATCCTCTTCAGCTTTAGGGTGCTAGTTGTCCAGTGAATGCCAAAATATTCCACTGCTTGTCTAAGTAATCCTTATCCAACAGATAGTGGACACAGTCCCTCATGGAGGTAGTCCTTTTCAAAGTAACCCCCCTGAGACACAGTCAATTATCCTGTTACAGGCAATCCTCTGCCTTATCGGTTCATTCATTTTCCATCTCTGGTAGAATAAAACTGAACAAACTTCATTCCTGAATACAGTGTTTTATTATGCATGTGTATTCAGGAATAAAAGAATGGCTATAAAATAATGGTTAAAAGTGTGCAGACAACAATGACATTACATACTGCAATCTGCTCAATTTAGCATCGAGAACCTATGATATGAAACACAGTACACAGTAGAAACATGAAGGTACCTAATTATCACTTAATCCAAATTAACTGTTTTCTTTTTGCAGCACTTCAGTGAAGTCAAATACTTCCTTCAAGACAACTCCTACATTGTTGTTTTATAGATACATTATTCTATAATACTGAAAATATATGGGTTCCTCCTTTACTGATGCTACAATCCATGATACGATCTCATCTTAAGAAGACTAAGTCTTGTTTCACAGGTAGTGGTAGTGGCCTTGCTGATGCTAACACTGGTATATGGTACTTCTTCAGCCAGATGGTATTGTAAGGTAAATATTAATTTTGTATTATTGCATTGTTTTGATTATAAAATTTAACTTTTCCCCTCAAAAAAAAACAAAACACTTTTTACTAATACAGGAGGTTAATTTATAATCTGATCAATACGATACTGTTGTGCAGAGCCTATGACCCCCTGCAAAGCTTAAGGGTGCTGCACAGGATCTTCCGTTTCATCACCACCATGCTGGAGCAGACATCCTTGTGTGGAACCTTTAAGGGCCAAACTGCCTGGCTCTTAAAGGTTCCACCCAGGTTTGTCCACACAGTGGCAGAGGAGTGGCAGGCATTGCTTACATGGATAAATCCCACGACTGGGTGACTGATTGCCACTACCCCACAGTTCCTGCAGATGTCCTTGTTCTGCTGCACTGGAATGGGAGCAAGGTAAGGACTTGGTGTCAAGCTGAGGTTTCCAGACTCCATGCTCTAACACAGGGAGCTGGGAAGCAGCGGGTTCCCGGTCCTGGACACTCCCTGTTGCAGGTCACTACTGTAGCCACAGAAGAGCCCATAGCATGGTTGGAAACAATACAGAGTTCTGATGGAACACCCCCTGTTTCACTGCAAGTTGGTAAAAATGAATATTGAAGCACTTGAGATTCAACACATTAGCATTTTCCAACAAAACAAAAACACACAACAAGGCCTGAAGATCCCCATAAGATCACCCACTTTCCCTCTCCTTACATATCTCAGAAAAATTCAGATCTGAATCCAGAGTGTTGGCTCAGATGTGCCCACGGCATTTAAATGCAGAACTGCAATTCAAATCTGCTCCTATCAGGCCTGTCTTAGTTTAAACCACTAAGTTGTTTCCATTTAACTAAAAATATTTGTCTTGATAAATGTATCACCATGGAATTTTAAGCTGGAGGCAATATGATGATGAGTCTTGGGCAAAATGCTTTGGCACAGAAGAAGCTTAGTTTAGCATTTTTAGTACATACAACCCTTTGGGTCCTTCCCTTGATTAGTTGATTCTCCTCTAGGATTTTGTAAAATAAATAAAATTTCAAAGTGTTTGATTTGTAGTTATCAAGCTACACACAGTGGAAATTTTTTTCCTAAAATTAATCCTGAAAATGAGGAGTTGGTTTATAATCAGAACAATATGGTACTTCAAAATTCTGCAGCAGCTTGTCTCAGTTTGATGTCAAACAGCCACTGTATTTCTAGGACATGTGCTCTCTTTTAGTGCTAACCTTTTCCAGCATTAGCCAGATTTTTTAAGGATATTTAGGGCTGCTTAATATACAGATACTTGGGAGTGAGGGTGAGGCATTTGAATTAGAGTGGTTTCCGGAGAGCCACTCTAATTAAAATGCTGCAGTGTCACATGTATTAAAACCTTGCGTATTTAAAAGCAGCCATGAGACGCTTTAACTAAAGCTCACTTGAAGAGCTGTAGTTAAAGTGATCCCACAACTATTCTGAAAGGCAAGAGGGGGGAAGGAGGTGGCATAATACACATGACACTGTGGTGATGCCAGTTCTAATTAGAATGTGAAACAGACTCGATTAATCGATTAATTGAGTCTGCTCTGATGTTTTCTAATTAGAACGCATGGGAGCATGTCCATAGGCAGCCTAAGTGCCTAATTATGGAGGTAAGCATCTAATAGGAATTACAAAAGTTTCTAAGAACCTAATTCCCATTGAAATAGAAATATGGTGCTTAGGTGCTTTGAAAAATGTGGCTAGGTACCTATGTGTAACTTTAGGTGCCTACTTTTAACAATCTGAATTTTAGGCTCCAGTCATTTAGAGTGACTGTATATGAACTTCTGTATCTGTACAGAGCTCCATTAAAGCCAGAAGGGCTCCAAACAAATGCAGGAACTGCCTGCCTGCCTACATCATATTCCATGACTGGGGCCATAGTGTTTTACACTCATGAGTGAAATGGAATGATTTAGAAAAATACAAATTTGGAGAGGGATAATTAGACATAATCATCACTTCTAAAGAGAAAACACACATCTTCACTTTTACTGGTGCCTCATTTAGTTACTGCTTCTTGTGAAATGATTTGATAAGAAAATGAAACGAGAGAAGTGTTTACCATCTCCTTCAATCACACGATTACAGTGGAAACAAACATCGCCAAACAGCTGTAGATGGAGAAAAAAATGCTATGAATTTATCCCGGGTTGATTCTTAAACAACCAAATAATTATGTTACAGCATAGGGACATTAACACAGCTCTACTTAGCTCAGTATGATAAAAAGAATGCTGGGGAAAAAATTTAAAGCCACTTTCTACTTCCTTTTGTTACAAACAAGACTGTAAAATTTTATCAATTTTAATAATATACAATCTGTTCTTTTCCACTCCACTAATCCTGTTTCATTTTTTCATTTCTCTTATCTGGCACATTTAAAATATGCTAGTCAATTTCTTTTATCATTAACTTACAGTTGATTTAACTTTCAGGTTCACAGTCATGACTAGAACCATGTCTTCATGTTTCTGTTGCCAGCATTGCGGGGAAATACCCATGTCTTTTTGCTTTTGATTTTATAAAAACATATATTACAAGAGCTAGTTCCTTTTGGGCCAAGCAAACAAATATAGTTGTTAACATCTATAGGTTATGGCATTTATCCTTTACATATCATCAGTATTTACAACTATCAGTATTTCAATCATCAATCCATCAAAACTATCTTTAGAACTATAGCATTTATTATTTTTTATTTGCAAAAAGTTACGCACATGATACTTTTCAAGTTGCTTGTGCTTCAAATAGTTGTAGTGAATTAATTTTAAAAGATAAACAGACAATATATGTAGTCTGTTCATCTTGCCAGTTATGTGAAGCTTAACATGGATATGCAAGGAACCTGAGGAAGGGCACTTGATGGCCAAAAGCCTGTCCAACCACTCTCCCAATTATACAGCTGGTCCAATAAAAGGCATCACAAAAAATCCTTGTCTCTTGTACACTTCCTGGACCATCACGGCTGTAGTGACATTATGACTCTGCTATAAAATAAGTGGATCTGTGGAAAGAAGGACCAACTATAAACATGTACAAAAATAAAAGTGGTCACTAGGTGGTGTCTTCTGACAAATGTATTTGGTGTTTGCAGCTTCAGGAGATGAAAAAGTTACCAGCTGAGCAGCACAGCACATCTTCATATAGAATTCTATTATTTGACAGTAATAGCTGTAAGGAAAGCCAAGCTCTTGATTAAGGCCTAGTGTTAAACCCCTGCTACTGAGTAACAAGATTTTCTTTAGATTCTTGGAAAAGATTGGAGGTTATCTGCGCCACTGAACAGATGCACAAACCTTGCAAACACCAGGAAGCTCAGGGCAGTCCTAAGTCAGTAATAATGATGGATTTGAAAAATAACTGCAAACTATCTCAGGCATACTTTGTAATAAGTCTTAGAATCTTGTTGAAATACCTGAATCAGTTCTAGAAAAGCATTTAAATACTTATATATGAATGACAAAAACATATCCAAGATTACAATTATGAACAAGATGCACATAAATGGTTGTGAAATGGCCACACTGAGCCCTTCCTATTATTATTTCTTTCCTACCAATAAAGCAATTTGATTAATTGTGAATTTATCAGTGGACAAATGCAAAATGCAACCTCACCTGATTGTAGTGGGTTTCACAATATGCCAAGCCCTTCCTCTCATAGTGACGATGACCAAGGAATGGCTTTTCACACTTTGCGCAAACAAAATGCTGTAAATCAAATGTTACAAATCACCTTCAGATTAGTGGTGCTAATGAAAATTTTTTTGGAAACAAATACACAAATAAGGGTTCAGGATTATTAAAGGAAAGTCTCCTAGCTGTTCCTTCTTAGACTTTAGAAATTTAATGTTAAGATCAAGTAAACATGAAATACTGCTCCTTTTAAGATCTGGCACTTCAAATTTCATGGACTAAATAAAATAAAATATGAAACTGAAAAGGTTTTGGATATTACTAACTAATATCATGAAGCTAGCTTGTAGAAACATTATTACAAAGTTTCTTGCTTAGTGTTCATCTCCCCACTTCTTTGTCTATATTTGCACTTAGTTTCTACAGTTTCAAGAGAGATTTTTTAGATCTACCAGAGACCTTCCAGAAATTTCCATAATTCTCACTCAAAGTACAAGAAATATCAAAGCAGCACATTTTTTTAAATAGGAGCTGCACGTATGATGACAATTAAAAGATACAATGTAGAACGTATGGCAAACTATTTTGTAGAATGTTCTGATCCTTTTTATTAACACTAACTCACAAAATCCAAGGAAGTATATTCAGACCACCATTTTGTAAAACGCAATACACCAGCTGAGGATTACCTCCACATGCCACTGTTTGCCCATAGCATTCACCACACGTCCTTCAATTGGTCTTCTACATGCTCCACAGATAGGAACACCCATTTTATCATGGCAAGGCAAGCAATATAATTCTCCCTTCAACTCACGGGCATCAGCACTAAGTTCCTTCCTGTTGAAAAATTAATTGACGAGTAATACAAAGAAGCTGATACTACAGACAGTTTCACTAATATGTATTCTTAAGCACAGGATTTACTTTTATGAATTTATTTTAAAAGGTTTATTTACAGTAAATAATAGTCTTACTCAAAAATGAAGTTACAACATAGTGCCTAGTTCTGGGACTTTTGTCCTCAGGACTAACTACTTCTATTGGCAACTCAGAACCATTAAGTATCATACATTAAATTGTTTTAAATATATGGTAGTTTTCTCATTTGCTTACATGTCACAAGAGCATTTTGCAAACTATAGGCATATTGGAGTAAATTCAGTTCCCAGTGCTACTGAAGTAAATCAACTATAGTTGACACATTCTGGATTTATACAAATATAACTGAGAAAAAAAAATATTCAATCATCTGTGTTTCCATTAATGCTCCATGTCCTACCAAGCTTCAAGGAAAAAGAAATATGCATTCATATTTCATGGTCATATTTATTCTCTTCCAATCACAGGATCTCATCTATGTTTCTTAGTGTTACTTTGTAACCTGGATGATAAATCTGAATAGTTATGTCATTGAGAAAATATAAACTTTAAAGCTGATGGCACTCCGAGGTGATATGATTTGGTTACTCTTGCTTTAGGATAACAGATCCTTTTTCCAACTGATCTTTCCTGTCTATTTATCCTATATATCTCCAATGAGAAATTCCCTTCCTACTTCCTGAATGTCCAGCTACAAACAACTAGTATGCCTGTGTTATAGCTCCTACTATCTCCAACCACAGTATCTCAGTGAAAAGCTGTGGCTAGCTGTTCTACACTGGAGTCTAATGTTAAAAAAAAACCCAAAATTTGTTATGCACTCTATTAGTGATCTCTCTGTCTGGTGCCTATTTGGGATGAGGAATACCTCTCCCACCCAGCTGTTAGAGAAGCCATTTTGAAAATCCACAGTTTTTATGAAGTACATCAAGATCCATACTAGTGTTGTATAGCTTTCTAGCAGCTGTCACAGCAGTCTGCAAAATTCAGGCATGTATCTCAGTCCTGAAGTCAAGAATAGGCTGCTGCAGCCAAAGACAGAAGTAGTAGTAAAAGCAGCCAAACAGGAAGTGATGTATATGTGAGGAAGAAAACTGTACTTTTCCCATTTGTTTTCAAGAAACTCAGAAAAACATATAACTAACTGGGATTTCCAAATTTACCATGACTTAAAAAAGGACTTGTGGCCCCCTCTATACATTAGAGGTATTGCACAGTTAACCAGCTAACTGAGCAATTACCTTGAGACCAGCTACACATGCAAAGTATATATCATGTCATAAAAAACTCCAACCAGCTTGAAAATGTGTACTAACTTTATAGCTGGTTGCTATTGAGCTTTCATTTGTACATGTATCAGGGTCTCCCAAATATTGATGGTATGTCTGATGACATATCAAGTGATGGAGAACCTACCATGCAGACAAGTAACCTGTCCTAATAGTTAGCCACCCTCCTTGTTACAACTGACTGGATTTCTTTAATGGGTTGTAGGGTGGACGAGCTTCTGTCCAGTCTCTTAGCTCCTCCTGGATCTTCCTGCCACCATTTAAAACTCAGTCACATTCCAAAATGAACTTCTTTTCTTCCCTCTTAATTTCTCTCCAACTTTTCCCTCCATTTTTTTCAAAACTTGTCCATGGAATGCAACTTCAGTTTTATCTTCAACCTCTCTCCCCCCACCCCCCATATTCAATCGCATTATATCTGCTCACTCTGTCTTGTGAACTGTAACCAAAAATGGTCATGTTCACCCTAGTGAAACCCTTGTCTATGTCTACAGCTGCAAACTGTGGCTATAAGTATAGCCACCACCTCTCCCCTGCTACTTTCTTGTCCCCTAGCTTTCATTTAGACCCATTAGTTGGTTCCCAGATTTCTGGAATCCAAAAACACAAACATCTTCTGTTTGAGCTAAAAAGATGCAGTCCATCAGCTGACAGGCATTTGCAGACTCAATGCTTAACACACACGTTGAGCTTGTAGAGGGAACGTGGAGGCACACTATTAGCATAGGGTGCTCAAGGCTGCACTTTAAAATGCAAATAGGCAAAATAAATAAAACTAGCATTTCTTAATTATTTCTCCCTTTCCAGAATGCAGTTACCCGCAGTTGGCACAGTTGAAGTGATCTGGATGGTAAGGATCATTCTTGAAGATGAGAGGCTGTTCATCAATAATAGCATGGCACTTCTGGCAAATGTATTTCCCCAAGCCCCTCGCTTTTTCCCGGTTGTGACAAGGGCGGCAAAGATGCCTAAAAACAGTAGAAAAGGAAAAAAAAACAGTATCAGTAAGTAAAGATATCTGGGAACTTTACTTATAAAATATCTATTCAAACTTCACTTCAATCAGCTGTCTGCTAGACATAGAAACCTTTAAGGGTTTCCTTTGTGGTAAATCATGCTTAAGATAAGTAAAGGTAATTTTATTCCATTCACTGATGGAATCGTTGTTCTGTTCTCTTGTGTTTAGTCAAAAAAGTGGAATTAAAATGTGCTAAAATGTTGTGTTGTTGACTGGTTTTACTCTGTGAATCTTAAAGTTCAGATTGGAAGCTTAATGTTAATTTCAGCCCTCATTCTGCCAATACTTACTGACAAGCTTAAATTTAACTAGATGAAATCAATGGAATGGCCCATGTGCACCAAAACATACTACTGAAGGGTACAGGCCCTAGCGACAGACTCTGAAACACTCACTCACACTGAATAGTATCTCCCTCCTAGAGGAGTCCTGCAGAAGTTATTTGGACTACTCATGGAGTGTCCCAAATCAGATAAAGGCATCAGAATCTGCACCATGGTGGGTTAGAAAGAAAAGGCGGTTGGAAAAGGTGGCTTGGAAAGAAAAGCCTGTAAATAAGACCAGAATATTTGTGAGTAAACCAAACAATTGCTTTTTTCCTATGTATAAGGGTGAACTCCATAATGAAGAAATAAACAACAGAAAATTAAAAGCCCTGATTGCAGCCACATACTTCATTCTGAAGAAGTACTCAGAGAACCCTAGAGAGGTGTTAGGTAGATGTGTACAGAAATTGCTGAAGTGGCTATTATCACAGCACCTGTGTCTCTGAAGCATTAGCTACTGGAATCATACTAGAAAGTATCTGACATCCCACATGAAAGAATTAATGGAATATACCTGAATACTCAAAACACACTATCAAAACATTCTCCCCCTATTATGTACCCAAGTGACCTAAAGTAAAAGATATACCCAGAAGGTGACCCTGTAGGAAGTCTGGAGATGAAGTGGTTCATTTGTTGGCATTTTCTAAGTGTTTAAAAAAAAAAAAATCAAGAATTCTTAATGTTGACATTTCCTTTTTGTGCTGCATTCTCTGCGTACGAGGCATTCTTGAATCCTTGTCCCATAAAGGTACCTTACGTGTAAAGAGAGACACTTCAGTTATATTCACTCCCTTTACTGTCATTTTTTAAAGCTGAGATAAGGTCAGCTACAGATTTTGGGAAGCCTTTATCATCACCAGTACAGAACAGGCCAAGGGTTTACCTGCCAGCATTCTTGACAAATCCAATATCAGCCAGCACTTGTTGGCAAATATCACAGCAGAAGCATTCTGGATGCCAGCTATTGTTCATGGCTTTAATAACACGACCAATAATGAACTCACCTGCAGGTAAATAAAATACCAAGATATTAAAAAGTATAAAGTCCTTTTAAATACCAACTCAGACTAAGTAAATAGAAAAAAAACACACAAACAAAAAAACCCAATCCTTCCTTTTGGTTTAAGCCCTATTGCTCCTAAAGCCTGGGTTCTCAACATTATCTTTGGAGATACAACCAAAACAAATTTCTCTGCAAACAAAGCATCTCTCCTCCCATCTCTCACACTCTTTACAACCGTGATTCTCAGTTGGGAAGCTGCAGCATGATGGGGTGCCACAAGATCCCCTTGGGGTGCCTCAATACTGGCCCTGTGCAAGGAGGTGAGTGCACTGCTCAATTCCCACCCTGCCTACCCCAGAGTCCCCTCGATAAGCTTCCCCCTTCCAACCTTTGGCAGCTCCTGCACTGGCTGCTCTGAGCAGCATGCTCTACCACAGACAGATGGGAAGAAGCAAAGATGCATTTTTCAGGTCAGCTCACTCCCCAGTTCTTTGCAAGCACCCAGGGCTGGTGGGAAGGCAGTGCAGCAGATAGTTTTGGCTCCCAGCATCCGAGACCCTGGAGGAACAGCTGCAGTCATATTTCTCTGGGAAGAGCTTTCCCCCTCAGGTACAGACTGGGGCTCAAAAGGGATTCCGTTCCCTCCTCCCCAAGCCTCATATGTTAAGGGCCCATCATGTGCCACGTTTGTGCATCCTGACCCTCATCCCTTCCAGCTGCATTTCCATTTTGGCCCCAGGGCTGGAGTTCAGGGGCGGATCACCCCTGGGGTAAACAAAGCCAAAAATTGCCCTGCCAGTTCCCAGTCCCTAGTGGTAACCTGGACCCGCATGTGTGTGGAATCCAGATACTGTGCTGGAAGCAAACATTCACAGGGCTAGACAGAACTTGGGGGAGTAGCTTGAAGGGATGACTATTCTACTTACATTATAATATAGCAATAGTGTTAACATCACATTCATTAATAAAATAATGTTTTTATATTATAATATTCATACCATATTCATATTCGTTTTTTTAAATGGGTGTCACCAGATTCTGAAATCTCATGGAGGGATGAATGTCTTTAGTCTAAAAAGATGGTTGTCTTTAGTCAAAAAGACCCACTAATTTACATGCCCTTCTTTATTGACCTCATTTACTATCTGTTTCCCTCTTCCAGTCCTTGAATTTGGTCAGTCCCTGTGAGGTAGAGGATTGATGCACATTGCTGTTTAACTGAAGTGAAGCCTAAACTCTAATTAGTGACATTCCTTGGCTCGTATAATCATAAATTTTGAAGACTGAATTTAACTTAAAAGCTCAGGGAACATTCTGGACATCAGTGGGAAGGACTCTAATGATCTGGAGGACAAATCAGAGATCAAGACATTAAGAGAGCCTAATTTCTAGGCAAAGCTTGTCTGGTTCTACTACCCAAGCAGCATCATGACATCATATGCAAGTCAGCCTGTGATCACTCCCTCCCTCCATTTTGCATATTGTAAATTCAGCAATTGGAACGATTCAGCAAATGAAACTGCAAGGTGTTTTCATAGATTTCATAGATATTAGGGGTTGGAAGGGACCTTTTGAGATCGAGTCTGACTGCAGACCTTGTGAGATCGATATGACTGCAGCCCCCACCACCATAGGCAGGAAGTTAGCTGGGATCAAGTGACCCTAGCAAGAAAAACATCCACATGTTTTTTGAAAGAGTCCAGAGTAGGTACTTGCACCACCTCTGGGGGGAGTCTGTTCTAGACCCTGGACACTCACACCATAAAGACCTTGTTTCTTATATCTAGTCTAAACTGGTCTTCCTGGAGTTTATGGCCGCTAGATGTTGTTATTCCTTGGGGAGCTCTGGTGAACAGCTGTTTTCCCAGGTCCTGATGTACTCCTTATATAATTGTAAGCTGCTACCAAGTCCTCCCTGAGCCTTCTCTTTTCCAGACTGAAGAGTCCCAAGCCCCTCAGCCTCTCCTTGTACAGCCTGCCCTCCAGGCCTTGGATCATATGAGTGGCTCTCCTCTGGACTCTCTCAAGCTTTTCCACATCCCTCCTGAAGTGGGCGGCCCAAAACTGGATGCAGTACTCCAGCTGCAGTCTCACCAAAAGGCTGAGTAAAGCAGGAGGATGACATCCCTGGTTTTGGTGGATGCATGCCAGAGTTTGGTTTGCTTTGCCAGCTATAACATCACATTGGTGGCTCATATTCATCTTGTGGTCAATGAAGAACCCCAAGTCTCTTTTGGTCATGGTGCTAGCGAGCACAGCACTGCCGAGCCTGTAAGTATGTTGAAGGTTCTTCCTACCAAGGTGCAGCACCTTATACTTTTCTACATTGAAGGCCATCAGGTTTTGGTCAGCCCACCTGACAGCATGTCCAAGTCAGCCTGTATCCTCAGCCTGTCCTGAGGTGTGACTGCCTTCCCCCATAATTTCATGTCATCTGTGAACTTTGCCAGTTCGCATCTGACTCCTGAATCCAGATTGTTAATGAAGATGTTAAAGAGTACTGGCACAAGTACCGAGCCCTGAGGGACTCCACCGGTCACCCTGTGTCACGTTGATTTGCTCCTCTCAACTAGTACTCTTTGGGTCCGACCCTGTAGCCAGTTACCTGGCCATCGAACCATAAGATGATCAAGGCCACAGGTCCCCAGCTTAACCATGGGGAACTACGTCAAAGGCTTTCTTGAAATCCAGATATATGACATCCACATCATCCCCCTTGTCCAGGGCACAGTTACCTGGTCATGGAAGGAGATGAGGTTGGTCAGGCAAGACTTGCCAGTCACAAAGCCATGTTGGCTGGCATTCAGATGCTTGCCTTCTGTTAGTCTGCTGTTGATGGATCCCTCAACAATTCTCTCCAGGATTTTTCCAGAGAAAAAGCAGATGTCACACTGATTGGTCTATAATTCCCTGGATCATTCCTCCTCTCTTTCCTGAAGATAGGGACCATGTCAGCTCTTTTCCAGTCTTCCAGGACCTCACCCAGGCACCACAAATTTTCAGATATCTTTGCCAAGGGGAATGCAATGATATCTGCCAGCCCTTTCAAGACTCTTGGGCGCATTCCATCGGGGCACACAGACTTGTGAATGTCCAGTTTCTCAAGGTGTTCGCTCACCTGATCCACATCAATTTTGGGCCTGTCACCTGCTCCCACGATGGTTTGTGTCTTTTCTGACAGTGTGATTCCCTTGGGAGGGTGAAAAACTGATGCGAAAAAGTCATTTAGGAGATTGGCCCTTTCTTGGGTGTCGGATGTCAGTTGCCCCGTTGGATCTATCTTTGTTCTTTCTTCAACTTCCCACATATCTGAAGAAGGATTTTTTGTTGTCCTTGATTCCCATAGCTAACCTGAGTTCAGTTTGTACCCTGGCATTTTTGGATTGCACTCTACAGGTACAGGCGAGTGTTGAGTAGTTCTCTTTGGTGATGCTTACTATTTTCCAACTGGTGTAGGCTTCTCTTTTGAGTTTAATGAGGTCCAACAGTTCCTTGTTCAGCCAAGGGGGGCTTCCTTGCCTACTGACTACATTTCTTGCGAGATGGAATGGCTTTTCCCTGTGCTTCAAGGATTATTACATTTTTGAAAGATGACCATCCCTCATGTACTCCCTTTTCTACAGGGGGTATGGCCTCTAATTGCCTGACTGACCAAATCTCTGAGTTTGCAAAAGTCAGCCTTCCCAAAGTTAACGATTTCTGTTTTATTGAGGGGTTTGCCTGCTCTTCAGTGAACTAAGAAGATGACCAATTCAGGGTCACTGTCACCAAGCTTCCCCCCTCGATCCTCATATTGCTCACCAGGTCCTCCCCTTTGGCCAGGACTAGATCAAGCAATGCCTCTCCCCTAGTCTGCTCATAGACCTCCTACGTTAGGTAGAGGTCATCAATGCAAGTGAGAAAGCTACGCAATCTGTCAGATTTGTCCATGCGCTCATCCCAGGATACGTCAGGAGAGTTGAAGTCCCCCACAACGATCATGCATTGGGAGCGTGTGGCCTTGACCAGTTCCCTGTTGAACTGGTTTTGACCTAGTTGGGATTGCCAGGGGTTCAGGATAGGATCTGGAGGGGAATCAGGAATCAATCAGGAACTATCTTGGCTGAGCATAAGTGAGGCTAGACGTTTCCACTTTGACTCCTGCCACAAAGTGCTGGATCAGACTCTTACACCTCTAATGAGTGGCTGTTCGGGGCTACAAGCAAAGGGAGTTTTCTTTCTGCCTTGCCAATCAGGTATGCTCAGTGATAACTGAGGCAAGCAGCAGGATTAGGAAGGGGGATACTGATATGGAAGAAGAGGAGATTGGTGTTTTCCACAAAACAGGAGGCATGGTAGGGCAATGGGGATCACAGAGTTTAGGATGCATGTTTAGAAAGTCACTGAAATGTAGAGGGAAAAGGAAAGGCAGCATAGAGGAAGGGAACTTGCTGGTGAGAATAGAAGGATGCAAAAAGCCCCCTGGTGTTCAGTGTGATTCACCCCATAAGCAATAATGTGCATGCCCCTAGAAACATAGAAAACTAGGGTTGGAAGAGACCACAGGGGGTCATCTAGGCCTTTCCAATTTCTCGCATACTGTTTTAAATTTCTCTCCCACAGCCCCCAATTCATCATTCAACCCCTCATACTTCACTACCCACAGCAGCTAAGATTTACTGGTTTGTATGCCCCTCTCCTCCCAGCCCCTTCTCTTTTCACAAACAAGCAGTTCACACAAAAAGTAGGTGACTCAACAGCTGGCTTCCTGTAGAAAAAACATTCTGAGGAGAGATTTAAGAGAGGGCAGGGTAGTGACATTTCAGATCTGCTCAGAAAAGGTGTTTCCTGCATGGAGGTAACATGGAAGAAAGTTCAGAAATAACCACATGAAGATTACGAGTGTTCCAATACTGTAGCAGAGAAAAGGCAAATACATTGGGCAAATCAGTGTAATGTTAGGCAATTAAGGTTGTTTTAAACTTACAGTGCTTGAATTTGATGCAATGGAAAAAGGGACTTGTGAGATAGATAAAATTATGGAGGTAGCTGTGATGGTCTGGGAATTATGCAAGAAGCAAGAATTTGTTCAGTGATATCTTTTATTAGACCAACTATATAGCTAGGATAAATTTTAATATCTTCCATGTTATGGTAGTTCTAGAGTGATGTTGTAGCTGTGATGATCCAGGAATTATGGAAGAGGCAATAATTCTTGGGGGGTGATATCTTTGATATCTATAACTGTTATAACTATGAATGAAGATTATCTTAATTTGTATGGAATGGAGAGGGACAATGTGGTCCTTGATTAATTGGTTATAGTACCCAAGACAGGAGATGATGACAGTTTGTTTAAGTTTCAGTTCTAGAAAATGTTTTGCTTATATAAATGTATCAAAAGTCCAAGAACGGCTTGCAAGTGACTAGTCAAATCAATAGCCAAATCACAAACTGGGCATGTTCCCAAAGGTTAGAGTTCTCTGCAAAGATGTGTACTGACCTTTCCTTGGATGAGCAGTATAAACTTTTCATCTGGCATAAAAACTTACCACACTGATGGCAGCAAGGGGCAAAAAGCATCTGAAAATCATGTTCACAGTATTTCCTTCCTTCAAACTGCAAATGGAAAACAAACTGGGAGTTAGGCAGATAAAGATTGTGCTTCATATTTCAAGACACAAACCTACTGTGAAACGTGGCTCAGAAGGTAAAGTGCCTGGCACAAGCCTTGAGCCTGCCTGGAGCTTCCCAATGTCCAATTTAGTCTGATTGTGCTCAATAGCCCAATTGCCTTCAGGCAACCAGGCTCCAAGTTATAAACCCAGGACAACAAGAAAAAAAAAGACAACTGCTCAGTACTTCACAAACCACCAGACAGTCCGGATCCTGCTTTAACTTTGTTCCCAGAACCTGCCACAGTTCCAGCTCTGGTTATTGCTTTTGCCAAGTTCCTGTCCTGGACCAACCCTTCAGTCTTGCCTTTGCTCTGGACCTTTCTCTGTATGACTATGCTTCACAGACTTCATAGACATTAGGGCTGGATGGGACCTCGGAAGATCATCGAGTCCAGCCCCCCGCCCAAAGGCAGGAAGTCAGCTGGGGTCATAGGATCCCAACAAGATAAGCATCCAATTTGCTCCTGAAGGTGTTCAATGTAGGTGTTTGAACCACCTCCGATGGCAGGCTGTTCCAGACCTTGGGAGCTCGGACAGTAAAGAATTTCTTCCTTATGTCCAGCCTGAAACGGTCTTGCATTAGTTTATAACCGTCTGACCTTGTCATCCCTTGGGGCGCTCTGGTGAATAAACGTTCCCCCAGATCCTGCTGGTCACCCCTGATAAACTTATAGGTGGCCATCAGATCACCCCTGAGCCTGCACTTTTCCAGGCTAAAGAACCCCATGGCTCTCGGCCTGTCGTCATAAGGTCTGTTTCCCTGACCTCTGATCATGCGTGTGGCTCTTCTCTGGACTGATCAGTGTTTAACTGCAGTTTCTGGCTCCAGACTCTTAGTCTAACTCCTGATGTTCCCTCCTGCTCTCTGAATACATGACCTGGCCCTAACCATTAAGAAAAATGGCTACACCCTGGATGGCAATAATGACCTGGCTGTAGTGAAGATGAAAGATGCACAGAAACTGGTCCTTGTGGCAAAAAAACCCAAACAACTGGACAAATTAAAGAAGCAGGAATTCTGATCATCCCTCTTGTACATCTACATTAGCACATTTAGCACACCCTATACTTTTTCATGCAATGATAATTTCACTTTCACACCGCCAAGCATATAGAACTGTGACTCCATGGTAACATATACATTATATCAGATCATATTTAAGTGCTGACAGGATGCTAAAAAACTGGTGCTGTTTATAGTGCTACAGGCAGGAATTAACTCTGGAGCTATATGTTCAACTTACAAAATTCCTTTCCTAGCAGGAACCATTTCCCCATAGCCCATCTGGTTGCCTCCCTGCTCTGCAATTCCCCAAAAAACAGCTTAGCACAGGTAAGGAAAAAGGTACATGATCACAGCGCATTTCCATGTCAGACACTTCAGTGATTTACTATGCAAACAACTTGCTAGCGTAATGCTACTGTATAAAAGGGATCTTTTCTAGTCACAACTTTTATTGTAGAGGAATAAGAATTTAAAAATAATATTGCCATTAGATTAAATCAGACAAAATGAGGGAGTTTATATGTAATGGGACTGGATTCTGATCCCAACCACTTCCAAGTCCAGCATGCTTCAGGTCTTCTTTTCTAGCTCAGGCTCCTCTGAAGAGAAAGATTTGGTGGGTTAGCAGTTACTCAGCTCTCACAGTCTTTAAGAGCTCAGCACAGTCTTTGTTTCCTGAACACACTTGCCTCACAGGAAACCCCACAAGCATATGTCAGTAATTAATGAACAAACATAAAAATAGTCCACAAGGGGTAACTCCCAGTCTGGGGCATTTTCCCAGACCCTCAAGGGGGTGACTCAGGCATTGTGCTGCTCCCTCATCACTGCAGTCTTTCCTTTCTCTCTCTGGTGCTCCTGCCTTGGTGTTGTTGCTTCCAGCCTCACAGCCCCTGGCCTCTTCCAAACCCTAGGAGAGTCGCTGGTCCGGTGTTGCAGCCACTATCCTAGCAACCTTTCTTTCTCTTTCTGTCTGTCTCCCAGTTTTCCCTCTGTCTCACTCTGTTTTTCTTATCTCTCGGACCCTATTATCTCTCTGAGCTTTTTAACTCCTACACACCAGCCAATTATTGCTCTCAATTGGCCCACTCTTGTTGAGGCAGGGTTACAATCACCCTTGCCTGCTTCCAGCTGGGCTGCAGCCCCTGAGGCAGGCAGCCTGCTACAGATCTGTGAAATGGTTTCAAGGAAAAACTGATGCAGCACTGCAGAACATCTACCTAAACACAACTGTAAAAATATGCATACAAGCATGTCTGGGAATGGAAGGAAGTAGCGCTTATATTTGGGTGCCTTAAGGCATCTCCTAACCAGATGCAAATACCAGCTAACTTGTTTAAACCAGACAGACATCATTATGATGCTATAGATGTTTGCCTTTTGACTACATGCTTGTACAACACTATAGATATGGGGGTAGCAGGATGTATGTTTTCTCCTAAAATCTTTTTAAAAGCTTAACTGAGTATTAAGCAGAAATTGACACATAATATATACTGCAATGTTTGCAGATTAGCTCCTTCATGGTTTTACTATGATGCTCTAAGGCTCTGAAAATCTTATATCTTTGTGAATCAAAATAAAGAAGTAAAAGCCAGAGTGAACTTTTAGAAGTGGTGAGCTTAGCATACACATAACTATTCCCTGGAAACTTAAAATTGCAAGCTTAGTTCTCATGCTCAACTTCACCCAGCATTAAAGAATGAAAGGTTCTTTATCTTTCAACCTCTCTGATACTAGTGCAAAACAAAAAGCATCATTATGTAATTCTGCCAAGTACTTTGCAATGAAATGCAACTAACACTGCAAAACAGATTCGAAAGAAGTGATTTAGAAAAATGTAGATTTAGATATGCTAGCATATCAGTATAAAACTGCAGTCCATCTTATCTATTTATTGAGAATCATACCTTTCTCCTGCCAAATGTAATGCATCTTAAACTGAGAAATCAGAATGCTTCCTATTTTATGTTATCAAATAAGAGAGTGACAATGTAAAGGTTAATTGTGTTTGGATAGCAGAGCCACTAAACACCACTCTGGGAAGCAGAACAGGTTTTCTTCCCTTCCGGGTTTGCACCAGGCAGGCATATTCCATTACTATAAAACTTGTTTATATTTTTCAGTGATTTGGGCTTATTTTTAGCTGTGTTCTCTGGGCTGAGTTTATCTAGCAATGAAAACCTGCAGTTCATGTAGACAAAGTCACTTGATTGACAAAAGAAGGAGTTCCAAGAATCGAAAGCTTCCATGTCAAAAATTCTCAGTGTAACATCACCACTGATTACTTGCAAATCTCCAGGTATTTACTAAACAGTGTTTCTTCAAGGATCCCCCGGCTCTAGCACTGTTTCTGCTTGGCACACAGAAAGAAAGAGGTCTCCAGATGACAGTGCAATATAAATAATAATAACATTTGCAATTTTATCATAGCAGCCTCCTGCCATAAGCCACTATTATCTTCTAGAACTCAAAGGAGAATTCACCATCACTTGTACATAATGTAAATCTTGTGACTTATTATCCAAGCCAAACTTCCTAAAAATTCAGATCCCACTCCAGAACTTTCTTGAGTGCTTGAACTGTTTGCTCCACATTTGCAGGGGAAGAGAAAAGAGTTTTCTCATGTCCTTTCTCTTATCACAGTTACAGTAGGCTCTACTTCTGCAGAAACAGCCTTATGAAAGGGAACTATTTGACAAGTCTTTTTTCTCACCATACAGTAGCCACTCTAAATGGAAGAGTGATGACTGATGGCATTCAGTGTCACTGAGTGGGTTACTGGGTTACTGTTTACTTGAAATTTTCTGATTTACAAATTAGCAGATTTATATCAGTGGTCCAGGATTATGTTTCACTGCCCCTCTGGACATGCTGGCACCAAAGCCCCCTATTTAAGTAGGTTATTTTGCTGTTATTAGTAACAATGCATGGTCATGCACCTGTTATAAATCTCTAATGAGAACATTCCATTGCCAGATTACAGTATAAAACTAGAGGTAAACTAGTGAATCCAAAGCACAAAAGTGTCTGGAATGGAGATCTGGTTTTAGATCACAAAACACGCTAACTTGGTGAGGCCAAACAAAGGAAAACAAGTATTTCAAAGCAAATAGTAGACAAGGACTCCTATGTTACACTACAAACAAAACTTACTTCAACCCACAAACCACAAGACCAATAATGGTTGGTTAATCAACAACTTAAAATGAAAACTTTAAAATCAATTTTTTGCATGTGCTTGAGGCCAACAAAAGTCTCACTAAGTCTGTAGGGACATGTACTGGAATCTGGGCTGGGTAAGAATCTTTACTCCAGCACTTAGCTGCAGCTGCAGTTATCCTAAAGATGATGTGAAAAGAGCGACATAAAATATCTAGGAGTTCTTTGTCTGACCAGGATTCTTACATCAGCACAGCTAACCAGAACTACTGCCCTGCTGTCAATGCCCAATTGTAGATGCACTGCACTGGTATAATACAGGGCACGCTTCACTGGTAATAGGTCTACAGAGAACCACAGGCAGCAGTGACAGATAGGGCAGGGAGCAGAAGCACAGCAGCAGCTTGGTCAGGGAGCTGAGCAACAAAATGGAGTAGCACCCAAGGAGGTTGCGGGGCTAATTTGTGGCTTGCAGGTCAAAAAGGTTGGCTTCACTGGGTTAAAGCATGATCAGATAATCCTAAAAGAGGACTGTGCCCTATGCTACAGAGAAAGGCGAGGGCTACTGGGATTTTTTTTTGCCTATTTGACCAGGGGAAGAATTTCTGCCTCACTCCATATCTAGTAACCTGTATGACCCTATATGTGTGACCTAGCCCCAAAAGACAGGCACCTGAAAGGTCTGTCATGCAAGCAGAGCAGACAAATACAAAATGATAAACAGCTAATTACCATTAAGAATACCAGTGTATTCTAAGAAACTCCCTCCTCGAGTTGCAGTCAATGCCCAATGTTTTAGTAGACAGGGAAAAAACCCAGAAGCCAGTAATTAACTTATGGGCGGGGGGGGGAAGGGGGGAATCTTCCTGGGCCACACAGGGAACTAGTAGAAGCCCCAAAGCATGGGTTTTGCAGATACCTTTCACAAAGAGGTCAAACTTCTTTTCGACCCCCTCACGAGGATATTAGATACTCCACTATGCATATGACAAACATACTGCTACCTCATGAACATCCCTGTGTTATCATACTATATATATTCTATAAACTTGAGAACCATTTGAAGTCATTCAGATCCTTTGATCCCACAGTTATTTTCAGAAGACTGCTCCAGATATTCACTTCTCTGAAAATAAGAAAGCTTCTGCTAGTTTCTAAGTTTTTTCACGACTAGCCTGTATTATCTATCTGATCTTGTCCAGACATTGTTTAACATGGCTAGTTCTTCCCCCTCCCTAACATTCACTGAAAAGTAATCTGTCTAGAAAAGGCCTAAGAATCTATTGCCTGAGCACACAGATACCCAGAGTGATGACTAGTTAAGACAACTTTGAAGTGGCTTGGGGATGGAGGAAGGGGACACCGTGATTGTTAACAGTTGGAGGCGACTTCTGGAGAAGATGCTTAGGACAAGAAAATCAAGGATTTAGGAAAACAGGCCTACTGGATCCTTGTCAGAGGATGTAACAAGCTGAAATAAATCTTCTCACAGGAAGAGAACCGTTTTAGGTACAGGAGTCATATGTTTGTTGGTATAAAGAGAAATTGCCAGGCCAAAGGGGAAAGAGTAGCATGACTGAAGACAGAGATACCATTGGAAAGTCAAATACAACACAGGACTTTTCAAGGTCACTTATCCTAATCAGTATTACTCCCTTTCTAACACACTTATTTAAAAGAAGGATACTGTATTTATTTGAATACAAGACAAGGCCAAGTGGAACAATATGTCTTGCCCTGGCAACAGACAACTGTCAGGCCCCGTCTCCAAGATCAGAGCTGGAACTGGGACAACGACTGTTGCCCTCACAGCCGCCTGCTGCCCAGGCCAACTCCAATCTCAGAGCCATGGCTGGGACAATATTCCCTGCCTCTGCAGCTGCCTGTTGTTGGGGCCAGCTCCAATCTTGGAAAATAAACCCCTACAGATTTATTTTCCCTGCTGTAACAAGGGGAAGGGGACAAATTCAAGGCAAACCTCCAATAATTAGATTCTATACCTGAAAAATTATAACACATTTATCATTTTTCCATATATAGAACCTAATTATTGGGGGCTCTCCTTATATTCAGGGGTATCTTGGATTCAAGTAAATACAGTAACACTTTTGTAGCAAATGGCAATTTCTATACAAGCTAGGCGCTACCTCCTTGAAAGTAAAAACATCACACAGCTAAACTCACTGGAAATTAATTTGCCCAATGATACTGAAGAAGGGCTACTTTTATCTCTGGTATAATCTATCAAGTTACCTTTGCCTTTAAGAGGAAGGCTCACTTTATAGTAAAACAGGTGCTTTAAAACAGCAGCACAGAATGTTAAAGGATGCATTAAACAGATAATGGTGGGGCACTTGCTCCCTTGTAAATGAAAAAAGCCTAGCCACAAATGCACCTGAAAAGAATAGGGGAACAAGATCATGCCAAGAATTTGCATGGGTATTGGTTGCAGTCATGTTGGTCTAAGGACATCATAGGCAGACAAGGTTCTTTGGGTAAATCTGATATCTTTCATAAGACCAACTTAAATAGTTGGAAAAATTCTTCTTTGCAAGCTGTCAGGTACAAGCATTCTTCTTCAGGCTGAGGAAGTCTGCAGTTGTTCCATGCTCTTCCTGGATGGAAAAGAATAGAATGGAAGCCCGAGGCTGTGCATGAGCACTAAAGAGATTTTACTTATTTTTTAGGTTAGGTGCAAATATGCTGATCTGCAATTTAAGCCTTTCCTTCCAGTGTTCCTGCACTATCCTACATGAGACATGTTTCAAAATCTTCATGTTTGCAGAAGTCTGAAAGCACTAAAATGCCAATTCCCCAGCAGCCAAGGTAGCAAATTGCCAGCAAATCCACAGCAATCACCCACCCAGCCTCAGCCTCCTCTGAAAGCAACCAAAAGTAAAAGCAGCTAAAGCTAAAAATGGAAAAAGGAAGAGCTGTGTTTGGCTGAGAGAAAATTCAAGAGTTTGGAATTGCTTGGGAAGAAAGGAAATCTGAGACTCAGCTCCTGGAACTTGGAAATGGCTATTGAAATTATTTCTATTCAAAGCCTATCTGTAAGAACTGAACTTGTACGTTAAGATATACTTTTTAATCCACTTCCTTCTGTTTGTTGCCTAGAACACCCACTCAGCTAAACCCTTGGCACCATATCATGATGCTGCTCTGGTGAATTCATATGACCAAGATTTCTCTGATGTCAGTACTCCTGACTGAAAACCTGGAACTAAATGTTTGCTATTTTGGATAAGATCTTAGTATGTTTTCTGAGTCTTACCACACAAAATCATCAAAAACTATTTGATGATACAAGTCCTCTCCAGTGTTAAATACTATCCACAGTGACAATATCCCAAACTAGCTCTCAGTAAAGAAACTGGCAGGATGATTTTATATTTATCTCATCACAGGAAATTATTTTACACCAATGTGTACTTAAACTGTCAGATTCATTATGTTGCCTCTAAAAGGACCCTCAGTACAAATACACGCCTGTGACAGTAATTTCTGTTAAAGATTTTCAAACTAGAGTGCATATTCCAATATATATAGAGACAAAATTTCAAGCAGAGCTGCTTCATGTTTATATCATTAAATGATTAATGATTATATCCTTAAATGGAATCTTCTGAACTACTGCGGCACTGATTTTCTGCTTAATTGGAACACTACACGTAGCCTAGTCATCCTCACACCCGTCGCAGCTCAGTGGAAGAGATGGCAATTTACAGCAATAACACTGTGGAAAGCAAACTGTCACACTCTTTAATTAAATAATTAGTGTGCTTCTTTTTATACTGCATTATGTCTGAAACACCTTAGATCTCTACACAATCTCTCCTTTTGTTAGGAGATGGTTGTCCCCATTTTGAGAACACAGTATGACATAAATCTTTCTGTGCTTTCAGCTACTATTCCAATTTAGACTGCAAACTATTTAGGCTGTGATCCTATTACATTAAGTGCTGTGTGAAGCACTAAATAAGGTGCTTCTATACAAACGCTTCAGTCATAAATAAAAAATTAAATAGAAAAGTCTAAACTGAATCAGCATTAAGGGTGTAACTGGGCTAGGATCATCTTGGCAAAAGCACTGGACTTGAAGTGAAGGAAATCTTGTTTTTAGTCTCAAAATTGCCCCAGACATCCTGTGTGACCATGAAAAGTTACTTAGGAACAAGATTTTGAAAAGACTGCAAGAGTGCAAAGAGCTTTTGAAATCTGGTCTTTAATCTTTTTGAGCCTCTGTAAACTAGAAACAAAGCTGTTCCATATTGCAGGCAGTTGTTTTTCTTACATATCGATTGCTCAATATCATACCATAGGCAAAATCCTGTCTAAGGCCATTGTTGATCCAGTCATTACTCAGAAAAGGGAAAAGGCAACTGGATTATGACACATTTGACCTCTGGGTTTTTGAAAAAACATGGTGAGGTGTCTTCCCATGCAAAAACATAAAAACTTCTCTAATTCAGAATGACCCCTGAGGGCTGTGTCTAGGAAGTGAGTCACAGAAATGACATACACTCTGCACCAAGGATGCAGTGGGATGAGCAATGGCTACAGCATTAAAGAGAAACCAACTTTTCGCTTTGGATACTTTAGGAAGGTGATGTTTACTAGAAAGGATCCTGAATTGACCCACTTGATCCGAATCCCATCTGGCTTTCGGTACATTCAGATCTGAAGCTCAGTCTCATGGCTTGACCTCATTTCTAACAGAAAGTATTTGGGAAAATTCTGAGTTGTATTGAAGCCAATGACAAAATTCAGTGAGGACTTTAGTGGAGCCAGAATTTCATTCTACATTTATTCCATTTTAGTAGCTCTGTTTTCTCTGTGCCTCCAGCATAACATGTAGAGTGTGTCTTCATACACTGCAAGGAAAATTCTGCATTTACCACAATGCTTGGGATAACCTAGGAGGTTTTTGCCCATCACTAATTCTGTGACTAAAAAGATGTTAACATTCTCAAATTGCAATGACATTCTCTATATTGGCACAGAAATGCCTCTCCTTTCTTCTCTCTGCTGGATATTTATTTTCAAAGACCAATACCACATTTTGCAGTGATATTACATGAACAGGTGTATTTTCCATTTACACCTTAAAAAGGAAACCCAGGAAATCGAGAGAAAAATATTTTAACCTGTTTACCTCATAGAAGAGCCCTTCAGGGAACTGCTGAAAGCACTGGGCACACACAAAACACTGCTCATGGTACAGTTCACCGTTGCTGTTAACGATTTTCTCAGCAGGTGCGAAGCCTCCTCTACAGCGCTCACAGATGGCATTTGCAAGAGCATTTGCCATATTGCTGTAATGAAAGCAAAACAAAACAGGAAAAAGATTACACTGCTTCTCTGAAAGAAAGCGATAAAGAAAAAGAAAACTTCCAGATCCCTTGATTTTAACTTTTTTTTTCCTCAGAAGCCACCTGGCCCTATCAAATTCCCACTGACGTTTTTCTGAATAATAGTGTTTAAGGTGCCACCATCATGTCTTGCCATGTGCCTGATTTCAGACTAGTACAGCTAACTACCTCTCTACACATTGACTTAAACTGGAACTGAGACAGTTCTACAGACAGAAAATAGTAAAACGTCATTGAAATCCATCTACCATCTAAGCCCTTTAGTAATAGCATATTTGCAGATTTGTGTGAAGGGAAAAACAGGTAAAGTTTTCTACAACAAGACAGAAGATGAAAATAAAATTATAATGGTTATGCAAAACAAGAGCCCGGCTTATCACTATTTTAAAATTGGTTTTCCTCTGTGAGATGAAACAAGAATACTGCTCTAAAATGCACATAAAACCAGTACAAAGTATCTAGGGCATCAATGCACAGGAGTGGAATTAATAGTACTTAGCTTCTGTGGCAGAAATAACCAATGCACAAAAGAGTGCTCTTAAGAAGTATTAATTTTGCAAAATCCTTCCAGATACATGGAATCTGAATCAGAGATTTGAAAACCACCCATGTAAATAACCTAGGTACTTCTGGGTTCCTAGGCATTTGTAATAAAATGTTAATGCAACATCTGTAAAAATCAGAAACCAAACTCACTCTTCAGGTTTGAATATTCAACTGCAATAAATCAGCGTTGCTCCATGTCTGTCAACTGGGGGACCTGGCTCTAATTTTTTTAAGCCCTCGGACTTTAGGCTGTTTCCTTGCTTACACCTAAATTCACAAAAGTCTTTGAGGCAGAGCTCTCTACGTGTACCTTTATGTGGGGAGCAAATACAGAACAAATGATCAATTTAAGAATATCTGGCAAACCACTTGCAGAACAGTTATAGAGTATACATAAAACCTAAATTAAGGGATGTGAACTTTCTGGTAAGATGATTGACTGAGGTATTTTTATAAAAGAAACTGTTTCTATTCTTCAGTAAGTAAAAAGATGATTTCTGTGTTTGATAGGAAGTCATGTTGCATCCATATAAAGGGAGAGCAAAATCCTCTATAACAAGGTTTGCCAACCTGCAGCACAAGTGCCACAGACAGCCTGTGTGTGTGGCTCATGGCAGATCAGTGAGAGGAGAGGCAGCACAGTCGCAGAAAGCAGAGCTGGAGATTGGGCAAAGTACAAGGTAGGGAGCAGAAAACAGAGCATCAGACCAGGCAGAGGAAGGGGATCAGAATGGCACTCAGGGGGGTATGTCAACCCACGAGCAATAAACTCAGCAGCTTTTTGCTTCAAAGTTTATTGTTCCTGGGAAGCTCCCTGGCATATGGTTTTAGATGTGCTCAAACTACAGCATACCGAGCCAGGTCTGAGCAGCCTCGGCTGGCAGGGAGTCAGGGGGGTCAGCCTGCCAGCCTGGGGCTGCTCTGACCAGGCTCAATGTGTTGCACAGGGGCTGGATGGGGCACAAGTGTGCTCCAGTGTGGGGCTAGCCAGCAGACAGCCTCTGCACTGAAGCACCCTCATGCCCCAGGCAGTTAGGTCTGAGTCCACACATGTGCAGCTGTGCACAAAAAACTGCAGCAGGGTAGGACTTGTATTTACAAGTCCTACCCTGCTGCAGAGTTTATATCAGTTTCCTGCATCCTAATAGGGGTGTATGTCTAGACGCAGAGACATTTACTGCAGAATTAATTAGTCAGCTTTACAGTAAATGTCTCATGTAGGCACGCTCAGGGACAGTACAGGGCCAATTTGTGGCATACCTGCCAAAAAGGCTGGATGCTGAGTATTACTTTGCAGGTATTAGTGTCCTCAACTCCAACTGACTTCCACTGTACAAAGCTTGCGTCGGTTCATGGTATTACATTAACATGGATTGTGAACAGATCTGTGATTCAAGGATTGGACTCCTAAATCATCTCAAGACGCATCAATGAGCCTTGGGAGAGATCATCCTTGAATTGAGGGAGTGCCAACGATAATTAACACAGTTCTTATTAAATGGTTCCAAGCTGAGGAACTATATTTATTCTTTATAGCAGAGAGTCTCAACAAGGAAACTGTGATCTTTTTTAAGGGTGATATTACCACTGTTAGGTACTCCAACATGATTCATAAGATAAACCCAGTGATTTCAAATAGGAATCAATCGTGTCAGAAACATTCTATCCTGCTGTGGTCATTCTGAGTTCTTTGCAACAGAAAAATTGCTCTAGTATTTTTTATAGTCACAAAACTAGTAAAAACCAACTCATTTTCTGAGGGGTGCTGTCTAACGAGGGGTGCCTCAAATCTGAAGAAGTTGAGCAGCACTGTACATAGACTCCTGGCAGCCCCATGCAAACTTTTAGTATCAGGCCCCGCTTCGTCAGAGATAATGATACTATTAATAAAAAAATGACCATTTTCAGGCCCCCTTTCTGTCTGGGCCTGGACGGCTGCTCGGTTCGCCCATGCCTCCGTTCGGCCCTGACGTTGAGAACAACTACCTAACATTACACCACAGAAAAATGGCAAGCCCTGCTTAAAGCAGCACTTGCCTGGTTATTAGTAATCTGCTGGTTTTTCTATTCTACAACTCTTTTCAGAAGAGGGTGACATTAGCTGCATTTCCACATAAACCTCAAGAGTATTAGATCAAGAGCATTCCATTTCTCACAGGGTCTCAAGCAAATGCACATGTGTGCACACATGCACGCACACACAAATAAGAAACGTAAAGAATGTCTAGCTGTATTGCTAACTGCCTCTCTTCATAATCTACTTCTGTCAAAACTATTGTGCTTTTTGGAAGGGAAACAGGTTATTTCATACACTGCATCTACTGAAAAAGTGTCCAGATTGCTTGTGAATACTGAACACAGTATAACTTGCAACATTTTCTATAGCTCAACAGCTCTTGCATGGGAAAGGTGAATAGATATTGTACCTTAGAATTTAACTTCAAGCATTTCTTGGATACAAAGTATTATGCAACCACAAGTAGTTGGTGAAAAAACTTCGAAAATCATAGCTTTTAGCAAAACCAAAAAACCCCCAGAAACAAACAAACGAAAAACCAAAACCAACCCTCCCTCCCCCTCAAAGCTTTTTTTTCTCCCTGCAAAACTCTCAAATACTTAATTTGCTTTCCTTTGAGAAATGTCAAAATTTCCTAATGGCAACATAGCTTACTATTTGTTATGGTAATCAGTAATTATCCACCAAAATGTAATAGATAGAAAGTTATGTTACCAGTAAGATCATTTGTACCTTTCCCCCAAAACTTGTACAAACTAACATACAAGTCTCACAACATATAATTTGCTTTGCAAGTGCAAAATAGTTCATTAAAAAAATGCGGGGATGAAAACTACAAATTTATCAATCACACAACAAGTGGAATTGCACTAGAAAATGGATCAATCCTATTCTATACAAAATAAAATGAGTAAAGACAACTACAGACATTAAAAGGTGATCTGTCAAATAACATCTAAATGCTGAGCAAGTGAACTTACGATCTTGCATAAAAGTCACAAAACTCTTTGTATACTTTTATTTCACTGTGCCTACGCTGTAATTTTGACACTGGTTTTTCGCCTTCATTTCCTCTGATATCGTAGGCATCCTGAGGGACCTTGTGAGGAGCGTCTTCAGTCTCTGGAATCAGATAGGAGTGAGCTCTGCTTTGGAATTCCATCCTTCGTTAACTATTATAAAAAATCCACTGTAATACTCAGTAGGAAGCTGCAGACAAAAATCCAGAGAAACAATATGCAGGAATCCCCCTTGTTCCCAGAGAAGTGATTTACTTTCACAGAGTCATGTCAGTTAGCTCGGCTTGTTGAGCACTCTGGTAGAGCTTCACGTTAAGAGCTCAGCTGCAGAGCAGCTAGAACGTCATGCTGCTATTTAGTAAGGGGTCATTGGAAGCTGAGGAACACATTCCATTACAAGGTTGTAATACAAACTTGGACAGTACATCAGGGCTTCACTATCTATTGCCGAAAGAAGAATTCTAGTCAGGCACAGAAGAGCTATTTTATGAGTAAACTTGTACGAGTGAACACATTCATTGTCAAGCTTATCAAGTTGCTAAAGGAAAAAAGTACTAGGTAGAAAAAAAAATGACAACAATGCTACTTTATCATGAAAACACCAACACCGAAAAACATAAAAGAAATATTTTGTCACTAGATGAAGATTGTTTTTAAACTTCTGCCAAACTAAATTGTAAAAATAGCCTTTTGCACTACTAATGAGTCATTCTTAGTGAAGTACTCTGAGATTATGGATCAACAAGGGCTTAAACTGCAACAAGGGAAATTTAGATTGGATGAACTCTCTCACTACGAGGGTGGTTAATCCCTAGAACAAACTACCTAAAGAGAGGTTGTGGAATCTCCTTCATCACCACACATTTTTAACTGAGGGTTTAACTGAGGGTAGGCAAACATTTGGCTAAACCAAGGTATCAGAGTTACGGCCCATGGGGTCCAACAGCTGGCCCCTGCCCCTGCATCTTGAGTTGAACCACGTGAGGCGTGCACTGGACTGGCCCCATGTGTAGGGCCCAAGACATGCCAAATGTGATGCCTGCTCCAGCCAGTGTAGGACATACATTGCATGTATAGACCACTCTGAGACCTGCACTACAAGCAGCACCTGCACCAGCCAGTTCAGGACCCCTCTGCCCGCCACACACCGAATCTAGTAGCCATGGCGCTTGCTCTAGGACTGTGCTGCACAACCGGTCTGGGACATATGCTGTGTGTGATCCACATCCCAGACTGGTTGGAGCAGCTGCTGTATCTAGCATGTGGGGAAGGGCGTGGGACCCATTTGGCCTGCAGGGCTGGCCCTGAGTCATTCACCTGGCCCACGAACTGGTCCTGTGCCACTCATCCAGCCCATGGAGCCTGATCACTTTGACACCTCTGGTTTAAATAGTCATGACTCTTCCTTGATCAGAAAGGGCTGGCATCCTATAGTCTCTGGGCTGTAGCCGTTGGATTGGTAACCTACAGTCTACACTGCAGAGCCACTGGATCCAGCCTATGGATCCAAGAGGACTCTAGTGATATTCAAGGAGCAGGATGGCCTCACTCATGCTATGTTGCATTGCAGCTAGGTGGAGTATGTGGAGGTCATTCCAGCCTGTCAACACAAAAAGGCTACCAACCGCTGGATTAAATGACTTCTTGGCGGTTCCTACCAACCATATTATTCTGATCCTATAACAATTTTCTTCCTAGAAAAGTAGAGGGTTTTTTTTCCATTTTCCTTTCATTAACAGAATTGCCAAGGTGTAGTTAACTATGGAAGAAACAGTGATAACAAACTTGATTTTCAGTTACCAGGCTGTGCTTGCAGCACTGTACTTACAGAAAAAGTCCTATACAGATTGGAAGTCTGAAAAAGGGAAGAGAAGAGAGAAAACCATCCTGTCATCACATGGATGACAATTCCTGATGCTGAATGACACCATTTTTCACATTATTTTAATGCTACATTCTTCTTAAAAACAATATTTTTCCATGTTCCACCAATGGCAGGCCTCTCTTAGAGTAGTTGTCCCATCCCAGGAGATTGTGCATCTTTAGGTTCCATAGGAAGGTCAGATAAAGTCAGGATTGGCAGCCAGTAAGTATGCTCTCTTGCCATACTCTAGCTGGTTAAAACCTGATACCTGTGACACACAGATGATAGACCCAACCTCTAACAGCACTGGACTTCAAACTGAAATGGATAGCCCAAGTAACTAAGTGATGTGTCACAGTCAACTGACTCTCATTAGCAACTGGTTAAAAATGCACAGTAAAGCCACACGCATGTTACCTGGTCAACAGGAGTGGTTTTGGTATCTATGCTTGTTACTGTGCAGCATAAGAAAGCCAGGGCAGAGATCAAGGAGAGTAACTAGGAATGAACACTTGAGCTTCCAAACACAGAAAACTGACAGTATTAAGGGAACTCCAATAAAGCTCCTGTTTCTTAGGAAATCCCAGCAGCTTTAAAAAAAGGAAAGGCCCTGTTTGTACTACAATTTTTGACCATGTTGAAAATAATGATTGGCAAAGCTGGCTGACTCTAAATAATGTTCAAGGCAACATTGAGTATGGTTAAAAATGGCAGCAAGACACTCTTGGCAGAGGCCTAGTCTGACACCTGGCTGTTTTTCTGCCACCAAGCTGTGTTTTTGCTGTAAGGGACAAACAGAGATGTTGTGCAACTGGTTTGCGCTTGTCCTACATCCACTTTTTCATGGCTGTATGATGCTCCAGAGCATGCCTCCCCCACATGCAGCTTGCAGCTTTCTGTGGGCAGGTCCTACAGGCATTCTAGCCACAGACTAAAACCTCACTGGATTACAGCCTGGGGTGTCACAGGACATGCCTTTAGCATATGGCTCAGCAGAAGCACTGGGTCACATGCTCCACCATGGCTTTGATGCCAGAATTGCTGTCATGTACACACAAACTGAACCATGCTACCTGTCACTAATTAAGGAGGTGAGATTTTTTTAAAATTACTTAAAAGACACACTTTACCAGTATAATGGAGACAGGACTTGGCACCACCTGTACTTCATATAATGATGTCTGAGTCAAACATTCTTCCTCCCCCATTCCCCCGCCCCCCAAAATGTAATCTTGAAACAAAATATGTGGCAGGTGCATGGACAGGAGACAAAATCTGTAGCTGTTTCTGTGGAACATTTACAAGTACTTTAATCTGTTAGAGCAGGAGTCTGCAATCAAAAGCTGCAGACATGCAGCTTTGGCAGCATTTGGCAGTGGGGACAAGTGCAGGCTGAACCCTCTCCCTGTGGCTTCAGACAGAAACTGTGACGATGGCAGCAGGGTCCTAGTGCCATCTTGAAACACACTGCTCCTCTACCAAGCCTTAGTGCCACTCTTTTATTGATTAATCCTGCCCTTCCTGCGGAACTAAGGAGGCAAAGAAGCTTCATCATGATACCGTATCATTAACCCAGAGCTGGTCCGTTTCAAGAGGTAGTCTTAACATGGTGCCCACTGGGCATCATTAGGGTTTACAGTTTCCTAGTTTGTGAATTAAAAAAGTCCTCCTGGATTGTAAAGCATGCATCCGGGGGAATAAGTTCAAGGTGCAAACAAAAGCACACAAAAAGGCCCAAACTTTATTTGTACTGGTAAGGCACCTCCCATTTAAATGTTTTAACACTGAGTGAAGCCTGGATATCACAAGCATTTTAGAGGTGGAGAGAAGTAGCAATGGTGGCTGGTTTGGGAGTGCTGGCCTGCCTGCAACTGAACTGTGTTATTTCAGCCTGCTGCTCTGAAAAGCTTGCCAACCTATGGACTAGAATAGACATCTGTTGTTTCTACAGGCTAAGCTTATTGGAAATGCCAAGATTCTTTTGTTTCCCTCTATTTTTCTTGCCCACAAAGCCCTCTGTATGCTACTTTCCCATCCCCCTGTATGTCTGTGGGACCCCAAAAGCCAATTGCTCCTCATACCAGTGACTCCTACGTGTCTCTTCATTCTGCCCCTCCCTTAATTTTCCCTTTCTCTATCTGCAGAGGAGAATGATGTGTGGCCCTCATTTTCCCTTTCCACTGTTATAAACAAATGGATAACAGAGGCATATCTTCAAAGTGGAACAGAAGGCACAGCAAGCTTGTATTATAAAGGAATAACTGGCCAGCTGTCAGATGCATTTTGAATGCTAGATGCTTTTACAGTTCCTAGGCCTTTTCATTCAGTAACAAAATGGCTTTCTGGCAGGTAAGCCCTGGGTGTTCAACTGTGAAAGCTCTAGCTCAGTGATGCTCAATCACAGTGCTGCTCAATCAATGTGCCCCGGCCCAGAAAATAAGGCAGATAAGAGAAAGCTCAAGCTCTCTGGGTCTAGCTGCTCCCCTTGCACAACTACCCAGCCTCACTGCAAGAGGGAAGCCCTGTGATAAAATAAATGCATTTTTTAAATGAGGTGTCATTCAATTCACAAAAGGTATGGAGGGGTGCCTTGAGTCGAATGAGAGGTGCCTGACATGTAAAAAAGTTGAAAACCTCTTGGCCCAGATTCCATTCTCTCTTCCTCTGGTATTCAGGAACAAATCCAGTAAAATCAACAGACATGTAGCTGTAAGTCTAGCTAGAATTCTAGCAGAAGCTCCTTGCGTTTATTTTACATCTGTAGTCTTATCACTAAAACCAGCTAGGAGATTAACACAGGCCCTGAGAACTGCTGAGAACATGCTGAGAACTCGAGAGAACACAAACTTTGCTACACAGTTCCTTCTGAAGACAGTGGGAGTCAGATGGGCAGAGCGCCACAAAACATTTTAATTTGCAAACCCAAATAAGCTTGTTACTACTCTAACACAGGATAGAGAAGCTTACACAGTAGTTTACATTGCAAACAAAGACATGGGTTACCCTGCTTGTCACAGTACAAAAGGGAAGGAGGCAGAGGTGACTATGAACCATTCATGTATTCCTGGGATTACAGACTGTGTAGACTACTGCAGGGGCTAAAATGACCCAAGCTTCAATCAGCAGTTTCCCAGACTCCTCTGATTTACAGCAGTCTCCTAGGAGCAATGAAGGGGGTGTCTCCCCTGTTTGCAAACTGAATAAGAAAAAATGGATCAAAGATTCATAGGGCAACAACTGAAGAGATGATTAAGGATGTGAAAAAGAGAAAAGAAAGTGGTAGTTTTCCTTCAAATTCTTTTAAAAATAGGAATATTATTCCTGGTGCTGAGGGAGGGCACCAGAAAGGATAACACTAAGAACTGGGTAAGGACATAACAGAGTTAAGAAGGGGAAAGCTCAGGCATCAGGCAGGAG